ACATCCTATTTTGATTTAGTAGACGCGATAGAGACACATATCGCGAAATTAGAGGGCCCACAACGGGCAGAGGCAAATATTAGTCCTGTAGCTTGTAGCGCTATCTCAGGAGCAGCTATTAACGTTAGGTTGCCGACAATACAGCTACCGTCATTCGATGGTAATTATAGTCATTGGTTACGATTTCGGGATTCATTCATTTCTTTAGTGCATCAGAATGAAACGCTATCAGATGTTCAACGTTTCCATTATTTAAATTCCTCTCTTAAAGGAGCCGTATCGCGAGTTATTCATAGTCTAGGAGTCTCAGAAGCCAATTATAAATTAGCGTGGCAATTGTTAAACTCGCGATACGAGAATTCAACGGCTCTCAAACGACACCATGTGACTGCGTTGAATTACTTTTAACGAATATGCACAGATGCGTATTTTGACCAAACGTTTCACAATAGTCTCAGAATGATCAAACATCAACAAAAGAAAAGCGAAACAGTGACCCCCTCTCAACGGGAAAAAGATTCCATAATAACCTAAGAAGCTCGCTCGTCGAGAAATGTAACATGATCAGCCTGAGGGGGGTGGGGGGTATAGTGGGAAGACAATACCAATGCAAGTTCTTTGTTTCTAAAATTCTGTACAAAACGTCAGTTGGTTGTCGATAATCGAACGGGTGCGCTTAGAAGAGAATGGTGCACATTTCAAACATTATAGTAAATTTAATATTGTCGGCAATACGTGTTGTGCGATCGCAATAATACATCTTGCAATAACTGATTCTTTTCTTTGATTCACTCATCGCGCATAATGTGTAATGTGTACATGGTGAGGAACTTTTGTAAACGAATTGATGTGTAAAAAAGGTGGATATTTTTAACGTACTATACTAAGGACTGGACAATCATGATGCTTGTGTGATTGTGTGTTTGTTTAGTGTGGGTTCCGAAAATTGTACTATTATTATACGGAAAACATCAAATATGACAGTCACCCTTTTTACTTGACAATCCCATAGAGCGGGTATTGATATATTCTTGTGGATTTTAGCGGGTAAATAGGTATCTTGTCATACGACGGTATACTTCAAAATTAATGAAGAATTCTCGCATCGTAAATTCACTCATGAGGTAAGCGTCCGAGTATTCTTT